TCTTATTCCTTCTGTAACATTTTCTGTCTCATGTCTTCTGAGGATACCTGTCATCTGAGTTAGGCCTATGGTAAACTAAAAACAATGCCATGGCAAAATCCTTATGTATTTTTCAAAGATCCTTCCTTTCTCTAAATAAGGTCACATTCATAGGTCTCTAGGTCAGGAGGTAAATATGTCTTTCTGGAGGACACCATTTACACCATTGAAGAGATGTGAGCGAACAGCAATGGCCAATATGGCCCATGTGATTGACCTTGTTCCAGCTCTGGCCTCACTTCTTATATTTGTACCTCCTCCTGCTGCAGCCCTACCCCATTCAAAGTGATGCTCTGATACTCCAGGTCCAGTAATGTGCATCCCTCCCTTTATATGCTTCTCTACACTTGCCACATTCTCTGTGTCATCTTCTCGGTGAGACCTATCAGCACTTTACCACACTCATCCGGCTCCTGCCGAGGCACCCTGAACATTGTAGCTGCCCACACACATGTGTGGATGGGGTAAGTGGTAGATGGATGGATGGTGAGTGGGAAATGGATAGATGGATGGTTGGTGGGTGAGCAGGTAGGCAGATGTGTAAATAAACAGGTGTCTTAATGAGTTAATGAGTTGGCAAATGGTGGGTGGGTTGATGAATGGTTGAGTGGTAGGTAGGTAGAGGGATAGATTGGTGGATGAGTGGATGTGTGAATGAATAAATGGGTGTATTGCAGGATGAATTGGTAGATAGATGGGTGAATGAATGGGTGAGTAGGTGGATGAATGGATACATGAGTGGATTAGTGTATGGGTGGGTAGAGCGGTGGGTGGGTGGGTAGATATGTGGACTGATGGATGAGAGGTTAGCTAGATGAATAGGTGGGTATTTATGGTGGAATGTGTGAATGGGTAGATGGGTGAGTGGGTAGATGATGGTTAAGTAGATGGATGCGTGAATCGACAGGTAGATGGATGGGTGGATGGGTGGTCATGTGAATGAGTAAACGGGTAGATGGGTAGGTGGGTGTGGGGGTGAATGGGCATATAGATGGCTGGACGAATGAGTGGATGGGTGGATGGATTTTAGAATGGATGTATGGATGCTATGGATGTGTGGATGGATGGTAGATGAGTGTGTGCATCAGTGGATAGGAGATAGATGAGTGAACAGGTGAACGGGTGCATGGGTGATGGGTGGGTAAATGGGAAAGGATAGGTGGGGGGATGTATGGATATAAGTAGATTAGTGGGTGTGTAGGTAGGGAGATGGATGGTGGATGGCTAGGTAGGCTTGGTGGATAAGTGGACAAATGGGTGGGTGGATATGTATCAGTGGGTAAAGGGATGGATGGATGAATGGTTAAATGTATGGGTAGGCAGATAGGTGGATGCTTGGGTAGACATATGGATATATGTATGGAATAGATGGGCGGATACTTGGGTAGACTGGTGGATGATTGGGTAGACATATGGATATATGTATGAACAGATGAGGCCGGGGGGTAGACTGATGGATGATTGGTTGGAGGCTGGGTAAGCAAGAGGATGAATGAAAGTTGGGCAGACAGACAGGCAGGCAGGTAACTGGATATGTGGAGGGAAGAGCTTCTTTGACAAACAGAATTGGCTAAGCAAGAAAGGGAGAGAAAAGAGAGCCCGAGCCTGTCCTGAAACACCCTGGGTGGGGGTAAGGGAGCCTTGAGGGGGTTTCTGAGAGGTAAGAACTAATCCAGAACTTTTGTCTGGGCAAAGTGGCTGATTAGACACAGGACTTCAGGGAGGTCATAGGATGTCATGCAGGCACTAGGGAAGGCAGCCGTCCACTACTGTGAGAGTGGAGGACAATTGCAGTGGAGTATGAAGCCACCCTGGGAGCTCCAGGGGTGTAGCGAGGGACAAGGGAAGATAGCTGGAGGTGCCAAGAACTCCAGGTTTAAGTGATCTTGGCTAGCAAGTCAGGAAGGGACCAGCCTGGGCAAGGGGGTGAGAGTCTGGAGCCTGGACACCCTAATGCCTGCTCCATAGGGGCCTAGGTCACTGTAGAGTTGACAGAGAGTGGACAGGCACACAGTGGGCTTTCAGGAGTTAGTGGGTGGGAACACACTGCACCGTCCTCAGGGGAGTGGCCAGCTCTGGGCTGATGTCTTTCAGAAGACTCACTGACTGGGAAGGTGGTCTGCCCATAGTGTGGAGTTCATACCAGGCCCCATCCTAGCCTCAACTGTCAAGCTAGGGCAGTCTCAGGAGCCCAGTCCCCTTTATTTTCACCTTGCTGCTGTCCAGTTTTCCTCTTTAAGGATAAGCTTGCTTCTTCCAAGCAGCCCCCCACAACCACTACACACCCTGAGTTTGGAAGTAGCCCTTGGATAGGTATGCTGCCTGGAGATACCGCTGCAGACCTCCATAGGTCACACCCCACAGCATGGCCAGCAAAGAGACCGAGTAAACACAAAATGAAAAACTAATGCTAACCGGTATGCTGTCTCGCACCTGTCATTTCAGCACTTGAGGGGCTGAGGCAGGAGGATTGGGATTTCACTGAGTTCTAGACCAGCATGGACATCCATACACAGTTCCAGGCTTGCCTGGGGTAGAGTGTGAGACCCTATTTCAAAATACTAGCCACATACAATAAAAAAAAAAATGCTGGTGCAAAGGAATGACTGGGAAAAGGGCAGGGTCTCAGGCATGGGGCCTCACCAGCAGCCCTTGCTTGGGCTCCTCCCACATGGGTGAAGGGCAGATGCCTACCTGCCCTGGGAGAAGTTGGGGAGAGGGTAGGGAAGAATGAAGAAGTGGAAGGAAAATATCCAAGCCAGGCTCCAAGCATTTAGGGGCAGGCCTCACTTTTCTTCCAGGGTCAGGGACCCTGAAGACCATTGCCACTGGACAGGTTGATCTACTGACTACTGGGGACAGGCTCCAGCATAGCCTTCAGAGAGGGGACAGTGGCAGTGACTACATGCAGGGTACCCATCCCAGGTGTTTGTCACCCTGAGTTGGACATGGGCTGTCCAACACTAACTAGGGATTTCCAGAAGACCCTCCTCCCCACCCCCAAAGCTAAAGGCAATGTTCCCCCAGTTGGGTATTCATGGCACATGGTTCATTGGAAAAATATCATGGGATCCCTCTATCCACAAAGCACCCCATCTTTGAGAAGTCCTCAGGTTGTCCCCGAACCTCTGGGGTCCTCAGAGAGTGCCTTATTGAGCCCACTTATTGTGGCAGACCCATATTCCAAAGACTTTTCCTCTTCACCTGCTGCCTCCCAGGCAGGCACCCTTCTTTCCCTCCTTCCCACCCAACTTTCCCTCCTCCTCACCCCCAAATAAAATAACAAAGAACTCAGAAAATAGTATTTTAAATGCTTTATTAGGTTTGCAAGCGTTAACAGGTTAAAAACAAAACCCAAGCCTTTGGATTTTGCCAGAAATAGCATGTTAAAGGGACTGAGTTGGGGCAAACACCTGGGGCCACTGATAGATGACGCAAACAGTGGCACAGGTGACATATGGTGTTCGACGCGTGGGGAGTCTTCAAGTGATGACAAAGGGAGGGACCCAAGAGGGGATCCCGCTGAAGACAGCATGGAAGAGACAAGATGGAGGGCCACACTAGGCACGGGAGGTCAGGGAGGTGCCTGCATCAGGGTGATCTATGACTGGGGAGAGCTGCAAATTTGGGGACACAGAGGGTAGTTGGCAAATGCCCCTGAGAGCACCCATCCCGGCGAGGCAAACTAACACTGGGTGGGTGGGTGTCCAGTCAAATGGGCAGGTAATTTGGGGTGCCTCGAGATCTTTTGGGTATCGGGCCAATTCCCATTCTCCAATTATAACAATTTACTCTTTTAAGTTTCTGTCCAATGTTCCGAATGGCCCATTCTTCAGGCACTTGCCAAGGAACCCTCTATGCCACGGTCGGGCTGACACACACCGCCCCCAGGGTGATGCCAGTCCTGTCACCTGGGCCCAGAAGCCTCGGGCCTCTAGACTACTAGTGGACTGTTGGGCAGGGGGACTGCACTGGAGGCAGAAGTGGGGGTGAGGTAAACCTCCAGCCGCCCTGGTCCCTGCCACAGTCTTAGGCACCATGGAGTGGCTGCTATGGCTTGCCAGACCCTCGGGCCTCGGGGTCCAGGTGACCCCATGTGGACAGCTCTCCTGGCTCTGCAGGCTTTTAAGCCTCCTAGCTTCCCCAGCTCCAGGCCTCACCCCACCCTGGCCAGAGGAGGTCTGTAGAGCTCCAGACCTCCTGGGGACAAGGTGGGGTGCTGAGGAATGGGCAAGATGACACTGAGGGACGGGGGGATGACTCCCCAAGTGCTCAGAAAGCAGCCACTTGCTCCCGCCTGATGGAACCTGTCTACTCTCACACGACATCCCCTTCCCCCCCAGCTGGCAGTAACCAGATGGGGGCCCCATCTTTGTGGCCTCCGAGCACCTTCCTAACACCTGAGGGGACACTGTCCCACGCCCCCTCCACTACTCAGAACTCCTGGGGACCAGCCACTGTCCTCAGAAGTCAGGCCAGACAGCGGCCTTCTCAATTCCTTTTGTTTCTCTGTGGGTGCGTGGCCAGCACCCCACAGAGACTCCACTCCCAACTCAGGCCAAGCGACAGAGATAGATTAAAAACAAAAAATCAATTAAAGGCGATAAATGGCGGAGAGCAGGACATGGTGGTAGTTGTGATGATGGCTCAGAGCATTCATTACTTCATCACTGCTCCCCTGTTACTTAGGGAGTGGGTACAATTTGATTATGAGCGCATATAAAGCTAAGGAGGGATCAAAAAAAAAAAAGGAAAAAAAAAAAGGAAAGATGCCCCAAGAAACAAAAAGAGGGGAATAGATCAATTGGCGTAAAATTTGGGCTCCCAATTCTTCTGTAATTCTGCAAGTTGACCTGTGCCTCCTCCTGATTCTTCCATCCAAAACCTCTCTGGGACCACTTCCTACCCATAGCTCCCCCCACCCAGCCCCCACTGCCCCCCACCCACCCCTCCAACCGCCAAACTTCCCACACTCCCCACCATCAGTGTGAGTCTCCTGGGGAGCCCCTAAAATGTGGGGGCTCCCCAGGAGACTGACAGAGATGGCCCATAGGTGTGCTCAGGGCAGGGGATGTTCCCCAGATCTTTCCTCCTGGAACACACCCAGGGGTCAGGCTACTCGGGTGGCATGTCTTACTTGGCAGTGCTATCTCCTTATCAGGCCAAACTTATTCTACACTGGAGGAGGCCAACATACAAGGTGGATAGGCATTGGCCCACACCGGGTGGGGGGCTGGGGAGCACTGGGCTCATGCTGTAGGGGTCCCTGGGGACAGGCGCCCCGATGGAAGTGAGCCTTGTAGGAACACCTCCTTCTCTGGGAAAGATGGAACTTACAGCCTGGTCATACACAGGGCCCACAAGCAGCAGCAGAAACTAGATGGACTGGGAGGGGAGCTCAAACCATGCAAACTGCTTTGCAAATTGGGAATGAATCTTGGTTTGGGCAATGTGGTCTGAATAGGAGCTATTCAGCCATTTCAATGTTCTCATCTAATTGTGAGGGGTGTGTGTAAGTATGTAAGTGAGTGTGCTTATGTGTGTGCATATATGGCGCATACTTGTGTTTGTGTGTGTGTCTATAGGGATAAGTAAAAACATCTGCATTTTAGCTAGGTACCAAAAAATAAGATTTTGGGATTGGGGGACTTATGCCAATTAAGTTTTGTTTTCAGTTTCCATGCTCTGTTCCTCTTCTTGTGTTCTTTCTTTTCACCCAGCCCTGTGGTGACATGGTGACATCTAGGATGGAATGGCCAGTAAAGAAAGTTTGGGTGGCTGTTGTTCTCAGCTTGCGCTAAGGCGCTCTATCTATGTGGTGACAAGGAGATAGCACTGAAGTAATGACATGCCACCTGGAAAACTTTGGGTCCCCTTCCTTTCTTCTTGGGTTCTGAGATCCAAGTCTAAGCCAATTTGACTAAAGATCCAAATGGGAAGAAGAGGAAGGGGGGGGGCGCCAATTATATTATTTTGCCAATTGTTTTTAAGCCAATTAATTTTTAGTATGTTTTTAGCCAATTGATTTTTTTTAGTTATTAAATTTTTAAGTTAACAGTTCTGGTGTTTCTAAAAAGCCAATTTGTTTTTTAAAGGGACTGTATGTTTTAAAGTTTTTCTTTTAGAACAATTTGGGGGAGTTACTTGGGTTGTTTAGAGCCAATCCAAAGCCAATTTGTTTTTTAAAGGGACGGTATGTTTTAAAGTTTTTCTTTTAGATCAATTTGGGGAGGGAGTTACTTGGGTTGTTTAGAGCCAATTTAAAGTCAATTTGTTTTTTAAAGGGACTGTATGTTTTAAAGTTTTTCTTTTAGAACAATTTGGGGGGGGTATTTGGGTTGTTTAGAGCCAATCAATTTAGTTTTGAAGAGTTGCCCGATGGTATGGGGCCAGGGGAGCAGCCTGACATGGGGAGGCGGGGCATGGGGGTAGGTGGGGAGAAGCCTAGGGGAGGAAGTGGTGCAGAGAGATCTTAGTGTGAGACGTGATGGAACTGTCCCTGCTCAAGAGGAGGTCACAGAATGATGGTGTTACATTGCAGAATTACCAAACAATTTGGTTCACTGATGATTGCTGGACATCTCCGAAGAGGCTCCCCCGTGGGCGGGATCTTTGGGTGGTAAGGCGATCAGGGGACGGTGACGGTTGGCCTCTCTGAACGCTTGGAGTTCTCTGGCGAGCATGCGACCCCGGCGGGCACGCAGGAGGGCAGGCAGGCCTCTGCGCAGGCGTTGGGCGGACTTTCTCCAGGTGTCGTATTGGAAAAACTTGCCCACGGGGTATCTGGGGAAGTCGTCCTGAAGAGGAGGCGCTGGTCAGCGGGCGTCAGGGTATCAAGTTAGCCTGAGTACCCAGTCAGGTCTCATCTGCCCCCATCCCCACTAGAGTCACACCAGCTCGTGGCAACTCCCCACAAATATCTATATTCATGGGCAGAGGCCAACAGTGATATGTGAGTGGACTCCGTGATACCCCAAATCAAGAAGCTGATGGTCTTTGTCCCACCCCCACCACTCCCCCAACCCCACCCCACTACCTAAAAATCCGCCCTCTCCCAAGCCTCACCGGAAGAATGGGCTCAAGAGTTGACACATCCCTCTCGGACTTGGCGGGGGTGGCACAGTATGTCTCCAGGAGGTTCAGGTCGCAGCGGCGGAAGCAACACTCTTCCACGATGCCACGGCTGCGACGGTTGGCACGGCTTGAAGGCCTGCCTGGAAGTTCCACAGGACAGAGAGCTCTAATCAGCACCAGCTGGGGTCAGCACCCGCTGGGGCAGCCTCCCCAACCCCATGGGGCGGGCTGCAGAAGAACGGAACTACCCCAGCCCTCCCACTAGGTCCTGGCCTGACACTAGGTTGCTCTGCGGGGATGAGGTAGAAGTGTGAGTCAGGTGGGCCAAGACGCCCAGAAAGGAGAAATGAAGGTGCATGCTGCAGGACCAGCCCCTGGCCTCTGGTGCCTTTGTGCAACTAACATGGCACAGCCTCTCTGTCCCACAAACTCCATGGAGACCAGAGGCCACACTGGAGTGGTTTGGAAAACAGGGAGGAGGAGAGGGTGAGCCCCGCAAGGGAGCTATGGTGGACACAGGTGTGGTCCCTGGGCTTGGGGCCCTGGCCTGGTGCCACCTTGAGCCTGAGGGGCCCACCCCCAACCCCCAGCACTGAGCTGAGACAGGGAAGATAGGGTAGGAGAGAACAAGACGGGAGGGGAGGAGTGAGGCCCAAAACCAACTCCCTTCTCTTCTCCCGTCTTCCCCCTCTCCCCCAAGCACTCAGGTCCGAGGCTGGGCTGGGGGTAGAGCCATTGAAGGCTTCACCTTGGACCCTCTATTCTGGAAGCCCCTCTGTGCAGGAGTGGCTCCTATAGCAAGGGCTGGCCCTGCAGTGCCAGAGGGTGCAGAGAAGCTTCAGAGTGCCCAAGAGTAGGCGTTGTTTCCAGAGGTGTGAAGCAGGAGCACACTCAGAGCAGTTCACAGGCAGGTAGGTAGAGGTGCAGAAGAGGAGACCGCGAGTCCAGGACCAGGTGAGGAAGATAGAGTGGCCCATGCCAGCAAGGAGAGACATCCATTCTGGTGCCCCTGCCCTCCCAGGCATGCCCCTCCTGGGTGTCCCCCATCACTGTCTTCTGTAAGCAGGGAGCACAAGCCTCAGTCCCCGCCCCCAGGCTGGGAAATCAAGAGAAGTGTGAGCAATAACGAAAGCAGATAAGCATCCCGTGTTGTAGCTCTGGGAACCCCTGAATTTGAACGGTCAAGCTCTCCCCTTGTACTCCCATCTGCATGTACACTCTCAACCTGGTCAAAACCCGACAACCGCATTTGGCTTTCTTTTTATTAACTTTTAAAGCGATCAGACTTTTGAGTGTGAGACCATAGCCCTGCCCAAGGGGGAGGGGAAGCGAAAGCCCAAGGCCAAGCCAGTGTACCTTAACTGTCACCCACCCAGGGAAGCCTGACCTCCCCCCTCCCCATTTCTCTGGAGTTACTTACTGAAGTAAAAGCCGCGGTCCGAACAGACAAACTGAAGCGTGTCAACAAGCTCCCCTCCGCACAGGGTCTCGCTGGGGCGGTAAGCAGCAATGCAGCACAAGGCGAAGGCCAAAGAGATGAGAAGCACCAACATCGACTTCCCCACTGGGATCCCCATTGGTAACTGAAAAAAAAGAGAGAGAGATACAGGCTTTGAGTTAGAAGTCCCAAGATGCTCCTCTGCACCCAAGATACCTATCGCCTCTTAATTGAAAATGCAATTGAAATTTGAAAGGCAGCTTTCTCACTATTTATTTGACCTGCGAAAACAGGAGCGCTTGAATTGCTGAGGTCAAAAACCATTTGAGTGTGGAGAAACTCAGTGGAGCTCAGGAAGGCACCCCGTGGTGGCTGTGAACTGTAAGAAGCCCTCTAGGACCACCCACCCATAGGCGCAACTGCAGCTTGACCACACCCACAGCAGCAGGGGCCAACGCTGGACACTGGACTTGGTTTCCATGTTATGACATCATGGGGGTGGGGCCAGCCCAAGAGCACATCACCATTGCCACTCCTACTCTGGCCACCAAGCACTGGCCAAGATGGCAGATAGCTCTACCCCACCCACCGTGGAGCATGTGCATCCAAAGGGACCAGTCGCCAACCTCCCTGCCCCCCAGCTGGCCACCCCTCCCTAAGCAGCAGAGCCAGCACCACCCATCCAACCCCCACTCTCAGGCCATGCTGAGCAGGGCCCAGGTCAAGAATCCAATGGTTAGCGCAGGGGGGGACTGCTGGCACTCCTGTGAGCCTTGCTCTCCAGGGTCACCCAGTCCTCCAAATCCAGACTTCCTTGGGCACCTCAGAGCTCAAGAGAATGCCTAAAGTCCCGTTCCAGGTCTCAACCCTTACTATCCAGGGTCAGGGACCCTAGAGAATTCCTCTGTGGCCCATAGGATCTTCTTTCTGACAGAAACTAAATTCTACCCAGGGTACTAGAGACAGCAGTTCTGGTCCCTGGGAGGTTGAATTCCACAGTCTGGAGGGACACACCCCCTCCACAGGTCACAGATTGTGTGGCCACAGGCTGGGACAATGGCTATTTAGTTTCTTTAGGGATAAGAGGCCACAGTGGCCCACAGTAAGCCACCCTTGACCCCGCAGAAAGTAGAGCCCTCCAGACCGTAGCCCCAGACCTCTGCTCCACAGTCCCCGAGAATTTCCTGCTGCAAAGAAAACACGTGAGAGACTAATGCGGAGTAGTCAAGAAACAAATTTGTTTGAGCTCCCTCCGGTAACTAAAAGTTACCTTTGCCCATCTCCTCTACAAGACCCGGCCCACCGCCCAATACCCTTTATGCTACCACCGCCACCGCTGCCGCTTGCAATCAGCTGACCATAGCTGTAGCTGTTAGTCCTGGGTGGGTGGGTGGGGGTAGACAGAGCTGACCTCGAAGTCCCTTCCCAAAGCCAGATCACGCTGGCTCCAGGTCCAGCCCAGGTGGCCAACAGAAGCAAGCAGGATACTGACCAAGAGGTAAGGGATAGGTGAGGGCCCAGGAAAGGCCCAAATTTGCTTCAAGGGGCAGGCAGAGGAGAAGGAAAAGGGAAGAACGGAGCAGGTGAGGAAACTTGGGGCTGGGGGGGGGGGCAGGACAGAGGCCGAGGGAGGACGAAGGCTTGTGAGAGGCAGCAGGCCCGGCTGCAAGGGCAGAGGCCCCAGGCTAACCGGTGCCCTGACCACCCCACCGGGCAGGCCGGAGCAGGATGGCAGCAGGGTCCTGGCTCCACGGCCCTGGTTACCTGAAGTTGGATAAGGAGGCCGCTGGGGCTGGAAGAGGAGGAAGACAGGAAAAGGCTGGAAGGCTCTCACAGGAGAAGCTAATGTCCAGTTTGCGAGCTGGTCAGTGCCTCGGCTTTTATGTCTGAGTCGGCTCCTCCCAGTCCCGGCTCCACCCTACCCAACCCCCCTCCCTACTGACCACTCCCCCTCCGCCCCCTTTGCACCCGCCCCCTCCCTCCTTCCAGCCAGTCCCTTCTCTCCTGCACCCCCAACAGCTAGCCTTGGACCATTCCTTAGCAAAGCACCACCAGTGGGAGGGGGGCCTCATCGTGCGCCCCCAGCCCTCTCTGCACAGACTAATGGGGGCGGGGAGGGGGCTCCTTCCTACGTCCTCGTATGGAAAGTTCCACCCAGTAAAAGGCAGGGGCAGTTATTCTTTAGACTGTAACATTTCTGCACTTCTGAGCCCGCAACTGGCCCCTCTCCCCACATTCCAAGTTGGGAATGTTGGGGACAGAGTTGGGGTGTGCAATGTGTGGGGGAAACAGCGAACTGCGACGTCTGGCCAGACTCCTTTGCCAATTTGGGGGCGCTCCTGCCCCGCCCACCCACTTTTTCTCTCTCAGTCTCATTGGCACCAAGTCAACATACCAGGGTGGGCTTCAGAGACTCTATTCCCCCCTCCTCATCACTCAGCACCCTGGGGGGACAGTGCCTGCACAACACGAGTCATACATTTTAAAGCAGCTTACTTCCCCTCCCCAACACGCACCAAAGGACCAGAGTCTCCAGTGAGTTCAACTTACACACCTCCTCCCCACCAGTTCCCATACCCCTGCCCCCTCCCCCACCCCACAGCGCAAGGGGGAGCGCGAGTTTGCAGAAGGAGTGGGCCCCCAGCCCCCACCCCCTACCACACGAGTCCCGCCAAACCCAGGCAGGGCCCTATGCACCCGCACCCGCCTGCCCCCCCCCCTCCCAGAGCCCTTACCTGGAAGCCGGCGACGCTGCCGCCCACCTCCCTGCTGCGGGTTTGCAAACCGAACAGCGGGCGAAGGCCCTTCTGCCGGGCACTCCTCTGCCAGCGCCGCTCTGACCGAGTCGCAGGAGCCGAATGTGCGACGGGGCAGAACGGGGGGATGGCTTTTTTGGTGGGGGGGGACGACGTCTCTTCTGCTTCTTTAGGGAGGACGGGCTATCTTAGGGCTGGGGCGGGCCAGATATTGTACTTTCGGGGGGGAAAAGGTATCGGGAAATGAGGTCAGCTGTTGTATCAAGGATAGTGGGGGGCAGAGATAGTGTGAGAGATAGAGTGAACGTAAAACGGGGGGGACCACAGAGAGGGAGAGAGGAAGAGAGGACAGCGAGAGGCGGGTAGGTTCACAGCGGGAGAGGACAGCTTGGAGAGAAACAGAAAGCGTATAATTAATCCACTTGGGTAGGCGAAGGCAGAGGGAGGACGTGAGGGGGGAGGGAGTCTGAGGCAAGGAGGAGCGGGGAGGGGGTAGGAGGGGAGCCTAGGAAAGGTGGCGGGTAAGTGCGTGCGCGGGGGGCGCACCGCGAGCAGAGGAAAGGACGCAACTTCGAAGGACCGAGGACGGTGCTGAGGGGGGAGGAATTGAGGCGTCACCCCGACCACGGGCACCCAGCTCGGTTAGGGCCGACGGAGCCCTCGGCCGTCGTAAGCCCGGGCCTCTTGGGGGGGGACAGGCGTGGCGGCGCCGCGGCCACTCGGGACTGCAGCGAATAGAGGGGAGCGGCCGGGCCGCGCGCCGGGGAGGGCTGGGAGGGGGAGCGCGGGGGATGACAACGCCGGCGACCTGCAAGCCGGACTGCCTGCGGTGGGGACCGCCTCCTCTGGCGAAGCAGGAATGGGGTGTTGAGGTAGATAGAGGAGGAGGCGGCGGGGAGATCCGCAGGCCCGACGGAGCGCGGCCCCGCCGACGGCGCCCTGCGCGGGAGTTAGCAGCGAGGCGGCGGACGGCGTCGACGCGGGGCCGCCAGCCCGGATGGAGGCGCTGGCGGGCCGAGCGCGGGCGGGCGTGGGCCAAGAGGCGGGGGCGGCCGGAAGGGGGGGCCGGGGGCCGGCCTGGCCTCACGCAGCTCCGCCGGAGAGCAGGCGAACTCCCGGCGCCAACGCCCGGCTCTTATAGCCGCGCCACCCCGCGGCTGGGCGCCCGCTCGGGCCCCGCTGGCCGTCCGCCCGCGCCAATGGGCGCCTGCAGGGCCCTCGCCCCGCCCCGGGACCGCCCCCGCAACTCGAGCCACGGGGGGGGGAACGGGGGGGAACGAGGGCCGGGGGCCCTGGGCACGGGGGGAGTGTGCCGGGGGGGTGCGTGGAATGCGTGGTCCTGAAGTTGGGGTGGGGGGCTGGGAGCCCCAGCATGCCCACGAAATACCGGGTACACGTTCCAAAAAAAAATCGAGGCCCCATGTCATATTTCCGGGGTGCCCTGTGCTTGTGTGACAGGGGCGCATGGTGTGAACCAACGTGCGTGGCACCCTAGGCTTCAGTGGTAGTGAGGGAACTGTGCTCAGTTAGGGGCTTACAAAGTAGGCGCAAACAGGCGGGCAGAGTTCAGGCGCAGGTAGCTGGGTGCTGGTTCAAGGGTCCTCACAGGGACCTACCTGCCAGACAGTGGACGGTTCCCAAGCGCTCAGCCGCCACCTGCCTGAGCAAGCTTGGCGAGGTGCAAGGCACCTTGAGTAGCAGCCAGATCCCGAGCGCCCCCCGGTGCTTTGCGCAGGGTACCTGAGCAGTCTGGGGGGCCATCAGGTGTGCCACTAAGGGAAGGCTGATTTGGCTACGCCAGAGTTGGGCCCTGAGTGGGACCCATCGCAATGTCGAAAGAAACAGGACGGGAAACATAGCTCAAAACCATACCTGTAAGCTAGGACTCACTGGAGTGCGCCTAAGCAGCGTGCCTTTGGGACCCACCCAGAATATCCGGATAACAGTTACCCCGTCCTCTGTGTGATGAACTTGCGTAGACGCGGGTTCGGCCCCAGGGGCCACCACGATAATTTGGGGGTCTGAGGAAATTATTTCCTGGAGGGTTCAGACGATGTAAAAAGCCACTGTGATTTTTACAGAGTCAAAACCACTCATAAACCGGTGCACCCTGCTTCCCACCACCCCGCGCCGTGCACCTCTAGGAATGGAAGGGGCTACCACCAGCGGAAACCCGCGCGCCCGGGGCTAACCTCCGGGCCGGGGCCATTAATCACTTAGTCCGCGCTCTGCGCACGCCTCCCCAAGCCTTCGACCCGCAGGGTTGGAGGCTCCAAGCCGCTGGAGAGCCAGCGCCTCTCCCCGACTAGCTTCGCCCAATGCTCTGCCCTTCCCGCTTCCTGGCCGCCAGGCGCTTTCCCTACAATCTAGTTGTTTGCAGAGTGCATGCAAAGTGGCGCGTGTTTCGGGGGCACCCAGCCGCCAAGGAAGAAGCCATCAGCCCGCTCCCGCGTTACTCGGCAGCAGGCCTGGGGACTAGCTGCGAAGTAGCCGGGTGCCTGCAGCCGCAGAGCTGGGGCCCGCGGAGCGCGCCATGGGGAGCTCACCACAAGGCCGAAGGTCGCGTTGGGAGGCGCAGGAGGATCCGAGGAGAAGGGCCGGAGAGGCTCTGTGGAACGCAGTGGACGCTGCTGAAGGTGAGCGAGACCCCGAAGGCAGTCCCCAGTGTCCCGGGGCAACGCCCAGTCCGTTGGAAGACCCGGGGACAATGCCCAAATTTGGGGGAAACTGGGGGCAATGCCCAGTCGTTTTCCTGGACGAGGGAGCAGCACTGCCCACGTCCTGGCCGTCGGCAGTGTCCTGAGCGTGTTTTGGGCACACAGACTTTTCCAAAATCTGAGCCGCCGCCCGGACACCGTAAGAAAATGAAGAGGCCGAAACCAATGTTATGCGCAGGAAAGGGGAAACTGCCGAGAGTGGCCAGCCAAAACAATGCTCAAATTTCGGGGATCCCAAGTCAGACTCTTGTTTGATTTGCAGCCCTGTGAATGAGTGTCCCGAAGTAGGGGAACTCGAGGGAGACTCCACAAATGGGGAAACTGGCTAGTGACAAATTTGAGATTCCAGAAAAATTAGAATTAAAGTTGGGAAATTATTCCATGCAAAAAAAAAAAAAAAAACAGGGAACGTTGTAATCCTGGCCTAACTTGGGGAACCCAACATCTTGGTCAGCAAGCTTGGGAAACCCACAAAATCCTAGACTAGTTTGTAGAAGTTATGGGGTTTATAGTTGCTGTTGAGTTTAAGAAAATTCCCAACATGAAATTTGGGAAAACTTCATTTTAATTGCTTAAAATGGGAAGTAGGGATTTTAGGGATCTAGGTCAATTCTTTTTGGGGGGGGGCGGGAGTGAAGACTAAGGTTTACCCTTAAGGCCAGTAGATCTTGTAGCACCCGGGAAAAATCACCTTTATAATTTCCGTGGCCTCCAAGAAGTCCTTCAGAGAATGGGGAAATGCTGTTTAAATGTGGGCGAGTTGGGAGTGCAAGCAGTCCATTTGAGGAAGACAGAAAATCAATGTCTTTTAATATTTTAATTTCTTAGAAAGATTTCAGTTGGTCTCTTTGTTGAACAAGGGGGGAGTTTGTATGTTTTCTTGGACAATGTTTGCGTTTGGAGAAATGTACTCCGAGTTTTAGGGATCAATAAAAATTACCCAATGGATGTTGAAATCTAAATTGCGGGGAGCAGAATTAGTAGCTAGGAAAGTTGTAAGATACAGACCTTTAAAATCTAGGATTTGGGGGATCTCGGACATTTTTCACCGTGCTTTTGGGGGACCATAAAACATTGCCCAAATTTAGGGAGACTCTGGCAGGAGTCATAAATTCAACAAGGTTCATTAAAGTTTAATAAAAACCCAAACTCTTTGGAAGAAAAAAAAATCTCATTTTGGTTTGGAGTACCTGAATTTGGCCCCAGGAAAATAATTTCTGAATCTAAAGTTTCCCACTATCCCTGGAACACGTTAGGGCCAACTCCTACATTTTAAGGAATAGAGATTATGAGTTCCTAAATCATAGGACATGAGAATCAGTGTCCCAGATTTGTAACTTGCAGAGATTGTGCAGGGTGACTGGCAAAAAAAAAAAAAAAAAAAAAAAAAGTTGAAATGTAAGAGGCTGTGTGGGTGCTTGGCTGGCACTGCAGCGGGAGATAGCAGAACCTTTCCGTGACCCAAAGCTAACTAAAGGTGTTTGGGGGCCTGGAAGACATTGCCTAATGTTTGAGGACGCTCAGCATGGGCCAACATGGGGGAGTGAGGAGAAGGGTCCAGGATGGTGCTGGACTTTGCAACTGGTGTTTGAATTTAAATAAATAAATAAATTTAAATTGTTAAGCTGAAAGGACTCAGGAACTCTTAATAGTTGGTGCAGAGAAAATGCTCAGAGTGTTTAAGACTGGGGACATTCCACATTCTAGTATAAAGAAAAAGGCTTTGGCCAAGCGTTAATTTTGTCATCTGGTCTCTTGCATGACCCAGAGAGACATGTATGACTTGAGAGAGCATGGAAAGCTCTTGCCACATGTGAGCACACGCCCTAGATCATTGCTTAGCCTGCTTTAGGGGCTTGAGTGAGAGCGTCTGTATTTTAAAGAAGTTTAACTGTGGCCAGAAAGCTTCCAAGAGCCCCCCAAAACCCCAACCTTGTCCCTTGTGTGTGTGTGTGGGAGGTGGGGTTCTTGTTGAGTGAGTTTTAGGGGTAATTGCTAAAAACAATCCCTGGATTTTCTGGAGTCCGGGAAATGAGAGTGTAGGCTGCTTGAGTTGCCTACATTCTTAGGGAAGGACATAGAAAGAAGGCTAGAACTAGGAGGGTTCCAGGAAAATTGTTAAGGAGGTCTGGGTGGGTTTCAACTTGTAAAATTGAAAAAAAAATGGGCTTGGGGGAACAAACTACAGAATCGAGTGTATTGTGTTCCCTGTTAATAAAACTGGAGGGCGGGTGGCAGAAAAAGAGAGTTAGCGGGTCAGTGCTGCAGATATAAAATGATAGGGACACGGGAAAATACCCCCCCCCACACACACCCCATGGGTACAGCGCCTAAATGCTGTGAAACTGTCCACTCTCCAGAGTAAGAAAAATTTGTCAGAAGGACTAAGGACCCGGACTTACGTTTAAATTTTAGGGAACTGAGGTAGGAGCTTGCATATGAAATTTAAGAGACTGGAGCAAAATTGGGGGCCCAGGCCACAT